TTTTCAAACCCAATTACAATAGACACCATAAAGGAAAGAAATAAAAAACAGAATAAAATAAATAGGAAAGACATAAAATAGAATAAAACAAAAAAGAAAATACATAATGAGGGAATTCAAAAGGGTACAAATGAGACTTTTGAGAACATGAAATAAATGATAGCAAACATACAAACGGAATGGAAAAGTTGACACTGTGAAAATATAAGATAGAAAACAACACAAAATACATAAACAACCATCTAGGAAACGGGGAGAAGGGTGTTGGCCAGAAAAGGGCTGGCGACTGTTGGAGGGTGGGTGGACTTGGGTGGCAGCAGAACGGTGGAGGGGTCTAGAAAACAGGGCTAGACAGCAGCGAGGACAAGCGCTGGGGATTGGACAACAGCTGTGATAGGTGCTGGTGGCTGGACAATAGTAGGGACAAGCCCGGGAGGGGCTGGTTGGGGAGGGTTTTTGCAGATTACAGAAGGGTGTAGGGGAAGTTGCAAAAAGTGCCAAACAACAGCGAGGAAGGTATCGACGGGTCCGACTACAACAAGACAACGACTTGGAGAACCGTAGCAAGAAAAGTGCCAGTGAGGCTGAGGGCAGCATGACTGTTGCTGGAATGAGGGAGGGCTTGGAGGCCAACAAGAAGAAAACCAAAGAACGATGATGATGTGCAGCTACTAGAGTAGGGGCCGGAGGAGCTATGAAAAGATAAATGTCTCGTCAGGGTCGAGCTACAGCCTGAGCTTCACTCAGAACATTAGAGGGGTTCACCACGTCAGACGAGTTACACCGGAGCACATTCTCGTCGTCGGGTATAACCCTCGGAAGAAAAGAACGCCTCAAAGGTAGCACTTAGAAATCCGTACTCATAAAAATCTTCCCTAACCTTAGCAAACAACATGTATAAATAAGAGGAGGTTAGTAGGTAGATTAGGTAAGTAGAAGAATAGACAATAAATGAAGGGGTGATGGGAAAGGAAGGAATTTGAAATTGGGGTAGAAGTGGAAGGTGGTAGATATGGTAGAGAATAAAAAATAAGCAAGAGTAATCCGTGGTTACTGTAGTAGCTACAGTAACACGTCCAAGATACTGTAGTAATTACAATACTGCATCCCAATTTTAGCTATCACGTCTATCTATCGGGGTTGGGGAAGCTTCGATCTTATTCGTCGAAGTTTTTAGGGTAGAAAAAGTTTGGTGGGGGTGGCTTGGGTAGGGGCGGATGTTGAAACCCTATGATAGAAGTAGGGTTGGGCTAGCTTCGATATCAAATGATACCGGAGAAAACCCAAACCACCATGAAAAACATAATTATTATTTCTGAATTTAAAAGAGTGCAAACGAAACTCTTGCAAACATGAAATAAACGACAACAAACATACAAATGGAAATGATAAGATGATACTGCAAAAATATAAGATAGAAAATAATACAAAATACATAAACGTCCTAAATAAACAACCATTTAGGAAACAAGGACATTGCTAGTGGTCAGAAAAGAGCTGGCAACTGTTGGGGGTGGTCAGAGGGAGCTGTGATGACCTGGGGCAGCAGCAGATTGATGGTGAGGTCTGAACGACAGGGTTGGAAAACAACGGGGACAGGCACCAGGGGCTGGACATCAGCTGTGACAGGCGTCAGTGGCTGGACAGTAGCAGGGATGAGCCCGGGAGGGGCTGCCTGCAGCAGAGGCTGGTCGGGGAGGGTGCAAGGACAATTGCAAAAAGCGCCAAACAACTGTGAGGAAGGTGTCCGCTAGGCTGTCGGCGACAGGATAGCGTCTTGGAGACGTCGAACCATAGCAAGGAAGGTGTTGACGCAGCTGAGGGCAGCAGGACTGTTGCTGGAATGAGGAGGCTTGGAGGGCAGCAGGAAGAACCCAGAGGGCATGTGCGACTACAATAAATAAAGGAGGGGCGATGGAAAAGGAAAAATTTGAAATTGAGATAGAAGTGGAAGGTGGAAGAAAAGATAAGGAATAAAAAAATAGGCAAAAGGGACCTGTGATTACTGTAATAGCTACAATAACATGTCTGTGGTACTGTAGCTACTACAGTAACACATCCGCGATATTGTGGTAGCTACGGTAGGACGTCCTAAATTTATCTCCCGCGTCACATTCCTTGTTGATCTCCATTTGTAGTCATTAAATTGATCCAAGACCTGCAATGGTCCTTTTAGAGAATTGACGTACTTAGTGACATTGTCTTCTTTTTGATGAATTTCAAGGAGTTTAATGGGTAAATCATATTGTACCAGAACTAGTAGAAAATTCAACGGAAAACACAAACAAACTTTTATTAATATTGAATTAAGGTTACAACACAACACAAATGAAAAGGGAAAACACACTAATAAACCATGGTTCAGCTAGGGCTGGAAGGGAAGATCTGAGGGCAGAGTGACGTCGACAGTGTGGTGAGGGTATGGGAAGGGATGGTGGTTGTGAGTCAGTTAGGAAGGGGTTTGGTGGCCAGTAGGTGGGCTGGACAGTGAGGATGGCTGTAGAGAAAGGGTTGTCGAGGGTTGGTAAGTAATCCAGAGGGCTGAACCATTCTCCTAAGGGTTGTAATGGGACTACTTGATGTGGAGGAAGGGGCTGGTGTAGTGGACACCAGCAGGTTGGAGGGTAATAGGTTGGTGGGAGGTGGATTGGAAAGGCTGGACAGTAAGACAATGGCAGAAAAGGGGCGATAGGACAACGGGGATGATATGGGGATGACCGACGGCTAATGGAAAGGTAGGAAAATGAGTAGGGAGGAGGATAGAGGAAGACACATCACCGCCTCTGAGTAGGATATAGCCGGAGCACTATCACCTCCTTCGATACAACCCTAAAACAGGGAGTGTGGCTCAACAAAGGAATCTGAAAGCAACACATAGCAACAAAAACTAACCCTACTGCAACAAAGCAGCAATATAAATACTCTCCCAAGTAAAACACAGAAAAGGAAGGATAGAGGGAGGGCCTGCAGCGGTGTGGCCTTTCCTAAAGTGTTGCTCGATCGAGCGGGACACAAGAAAGGAAGTAAATCCCATTCGACTCCTGTCGCATCATGAACCGGTCACCTCAAGCAGGGTCTGAACCGACTCCCCTATGTCGGCTGGTTCGGCCTGCTGGCTTGCTTCCCGCATCCAAACTCTCGCACCCTCATAATCATATATTTTAGATTGATTTCTCAAATCAGAATACGCATGGGTAATATTATTCCGAATTTCTTTGGATGTAGGATAGTAGATGTAATTAGAATTGATTTCTGCTTCCATGGAATTCACTAATCTTGTCATAACTATGGAGTTTTCAGCATACTAGTTTGTGTGTGCCAAGTCTTTGCGGAAGCTTTTTTCTCTCTTGTGGAGCATTTTCTCTTTTCCTAAGCTAAGTCATATTCATTAGAATGGATTAAACCTTGAACTTTTTATTGGTGATTTGCAGCAAGTGAGAATCTGTGTTGTACCCATATACTTTATGACTTTTGTGGAGCGTTCATGATGGATTTAGATGTGGCATTTGACACAGAAGGAAAGGGGAGAGAGGGAAAAAAACCCCTACATTGATACCATGCAAATTAGATGAAAGTAGAAAGAAAAGGACCTTCAATTTTTTTTTTTTTTAATTTACAACACCTATTCTTTTAGATAACTTACATGTGCAGTGAAGGAATGAATAAATGCAAAATACTTTCTATATATTCAACTTCAGAAACAATTATCTGTCAAACAGTATATAGTGAAAACTTGTTTTTCAAAAGGGACTATTGGCAACTAGAATTTAAGATTCAAGTAATGACAGTAGTAAATTTGTTTCAAAGACAGCCACTAGTTAAAGGAAAGACGGAATGAATATTATACAATACAATCATTCCAAATATAGCATGGTTGGTCCGCTACAACTGTAATGATGGAGGGTTCGCTGGTGAAACTATGTGCTTTTCAAAAGAAGTCCCAGGCATAGCTAAAATATAAAAATCTGCCTAGACCTGGACGTTTTTTGAAATGCTGAAATTAATGCTCCTTTTATAGTAGAATTTACTTATCACCTTAAGAAAATCTAACATTGATTGGCTTAGAGAATGTTAAGAGTTTGGTTCTTGTTTTGGAAATTATAGTCCAGATCGAGATGTTTGACGTGAAGGATATTGAGATTGTACTGCAGTTGCAAGCATGAACATACAAACTTACAGCAAGAGAGTTATTGTCTAGAATGAAGAACTAATTAGGTAACTCGAAGAATGCTTTCAAACCATCCATTGTAATACAGACGAGTCATAGATTGTTGGGATTTATGAAGTTGAAGTAGACATGGGAATTTCTTTTTCTTATTGATCTAATTAAGAAAACTCTCGAGATTAGTCATTGTGCATAACCAACTTAAGTCTATTTTTTAATTTTCTGTGGAAATTACTTGACTTTAGGAGGCCGCAGGATTGATTGGTTCTTATCAAGCTTGATGATAGAAGGGTTAAAGAAGTGCAAATCCTCATTTTTCCATCTGTTAATATTCTGAACTCTTGAAAAATGGTGTACTTTTTGGTGATGATTCTTTGTCAAAATTATCTAGATGAGGTTTTGCAGGCATAATATTATTGTAGATATATTTTATCTGACACATTTTCTTGTTTGATAGGAGCTCCTAGTACAATTGTTAATTAAAACTGTATATAACTTGAATGATTATTATAGTTTTTAACCGTTTGCTTGCACAAATGCATCACATTCTTCATTTTCAGTCCATCTCCAGTTTATGCATATAGGCTTCATCTTGGTTTAACTATTATGCATTGTAGAAAAGGTACAAAATGAAATGAAAATGGGATTAAAAAATACATGTTAGAAATTCAAATTTCCTATAATCAGGCTGCTATTCCTTTCTCCTGTACTCTCTTAAGAGTTCCATTTTGTATTATTGTTTCATTATGTGTGAGGCAGTGAGCATGTGCTGATTGACTCTTCCTTTTGCATTAGCACTTTGATGCTTTTTGAGAAAGTAATTTTACATTCTTAGGCTGAAGTTTTGTATAAGTTGATAGAAGATCTTGCTAATCTTAATGGAGACCAGTCTGAGATTGTGATGGATCTCTTTTGTGGAACTGGAACTATTGGATTGACTCTTGCAAGAAGGTCAGATTCATTTCGAACAAATGTTATCAGATGAGCATTTTCTTCCTACCGTCTCTGATGATTAATAGTTTTTGTGAATAACACATCCAAAATTTTCAGGGTAAGACATGTCTATGGATTCGAAGTTGTGAAACAAGCTGTATCAGATGCTCATCGAAATGCTGTGCTCAATGGCATCCATAATGCTACATTCATTCAAGGAGACCTCAATAAAATTGATGATGATTTTGGGAAAGGATTCCCAAAACCTGACATTGTCATCTCAGGTTGTGTTTATTTTGTTTTATTTTTAATTTCTGATTTTCTTATATTCTTAGTCAATTCTGGGTGTATTAAAGTTTTAGTTTTAGATAGCCTAACTTGCCCATCTTAAATAAGAAATGATCAGCTTCTTTCTCTTGTTTGCTTAAATAAGTAGGGATTGGATCAAGGAGAGAAACAATATTCATTTTGAACACCCCAAGGAAGGGTGGTAGCTGGGCGATATATTATAAAAGTTTACTAGAGAATGAAGATGGTGGAGAAATTCAACAATTTTAAGAGAAAAGTGATTTTGAATTAGTAGAATTAACTTCCATTTTAAAACCAGTTTATTTTTTGACCCTTCGTACACGGCCTCTTAGCTTGGAAACTAGTACTCTTCTTTCCTTCTAATAGTGCGACATTTTCTTCTCTTGGCTGTTAAGCCAGAGAGCATAACTCTGTTGAGTATGGCTGATTGAACTTTTTTGCCAATTTTTCAGATCCTAATCGCCCAGGCATGCACTTGAAGCTGATTAAATATCTACTTAATCTTCGGGCATCCCGGATCATTTATATTTCATGCAATCCAGCAACCTGTGCACGTGACCTTGATTACCTTTGCCATGGTCTGGTATGCGCTTTACATTTTACTCAGCTAGCCAGAGTATATTAAAGTTTTGATGGTGCTAAACTATTGATAACCGGTTGCAGCCCGAGAAAGATTTAAGAGGGAGCTATCAGTTGAAATGTGTACAACCAGTGGACATGTTCCCTCATACATCTCACATTGAATGTATCTGTGTGCTGGAGCTCTGTTAGCAATTGTTATATTTTATTAAATTGGTAAAGTGTGAAGCGGCAATCATCTGACATCAATCTTTCGGCTTGCAGTTCTCATAGGTAAATTCAATGCATCATGAAGAATTAGTATGAAAAGGTAGATGTTTATCACTTCACATCAAAAATTTAATCTTGATTTCCTTGTTGCTTTTAAACGTGTTTTGAAGCATGAAATTTTAGGTTTCCACTTTATCAGGCCTAAGTCCTTATATCAATATTTCTTACATGTTATGAAAATGTTAAAGAAATGTGTACCCGTAATTCAGAATCTAGAATATTTTAGAGAAAGAAGAGAAGTGGGAGAAATGATTTCCTTACTTAATCTTGACTTGTCTTTACCATATATATAGAATATTATAGTGAACCAAGAAAGGAAGAATAGTAAGATGTGATTCATATTTAGTCCTATAGCAATGATATTGACCACAATGTTATTTGTGAGTGGTGTAATTTGGGCCTTTCTTAATTTTGAATATTAATTTACCTTATTACAAGGATCCTCTTTAATGCTTGAATTCAAACGTTTCTTATTTCTAAAATCCCTTTTAATGATGAAAATTTACTTTCCTTATTATGCCTCTGCAATATGGAGTGCTCAAAGAGAACTGTAATATTTGTGCATATGTCATGTAACGATAGTGGGTAAGGGAAGTGGTGAGAACATTAATGAGTTCATCATTCAACGTGACATGAGAGACATGTATTTGATCATTTTGAACATTATCATGAATGAAGTAAAAAAGTCGATTGTTGTATGTTTCATGTGGGAGTGAAACATAAGATTAGTACGGTGATAAGTGGTGCCAATATTATCACAATAGATTGTTGATGGACTTAGAATTGTAATGGGATCTGAAAATATAGCAAAAAAGATTGAATAGATAATAGTTTGGTTGTTGTTGAGGAGTGTAGGCACATTGCTTAGTGTTAGGTATTTGCGTTTTGACAAGAATGACTTCAATGTACTTTTATTGGGACAGGCGAATGCGGTAGGTGCAGGGCAAACTTTAACACAAGGGTTTAAGACCTTGGATGAAGAACTTGGATGATAGTTGCTCAATACTTTTTTGAATGGCAGTCAATTTGTTTATTATAATAACGATTTCATCAAAATATAACAACATTGAAAATCATTTGGTTGAATAAATAATGAAATTTGAGATGGAGAGTTAACAAACTTAGGGCGCATTTGGGCCAACGATACGGTAGTGGTGCGGTCTCGGACTGCACTTCACTTTGTTGCATTTGTCAAAACTACCTTTTTCAAAATGCTATTGAGGGAATATGCATTTTGCAATCTGATCTGGCTAAATGTGATTGCTGCCATAAAGCATCGATTTACTTTTTAAAAATATAAAAAATGTGTAATAGCCACTATAGCTTTTTGAACGGTAGTTTCTTCTGCAACTGCTTCACATCTGTTTCTTCGAACATATGCAATTGCCCTAAATAGAACCTTAGCGGCAATCAAAAGTTACGTGAGTTAAGTAGGCCAGACCCGCGGAGCTTGTTTGAGACCGTAAAAAGGCTTTCACAGGTATAAAGTATTGTCTGATTGATTGGTATCAACAAAGCTTGGTTATTGGATCATAAAACATTGTTCTGATGATTTTTATCAAGGGACACATTGTTCATGTCATCTCTTGGTCTATCATTGTGAAATAATAATGGTATGAACATCATGGTTGTTGTTGATTTTATCATTGGCTTGAAAGTCTCATGGTAGCCAGTGCTTGGATTTTGAAGAAACCCTTTTGCAATAATTTGATTTTTATAGCTATTACAGTTCAATGTTAATACAAAAGTTTCATTTGTCGTTAGTGTATGGGATTTGATGGAACAAGATCTCACGGAAACAAACATTTACGGTGTAAATCTGCAATATCTCCAAGTGACCAGAAGACCAAGCTGAATGTAGAAGCAGAAGAACCAATTGATTGTGAGAGGTACCAAAGATTGTTGAACCATATCTTTTGCGGTGAACTTGGTGACCTACTACATGCATGATCCAAAGAAGGGCTATATGGATGCAGTGTATCAGATTCTTATGTACTTGAAGAGTGCACCATGGATGGTTTATTTTCAGGAAGAATGGACATGTAAACATTGAGGGCTTTTGTGACACTGATTAGACGAGTTGTGCAGATGACATAAGATCTAGCTCAGAATTATGCATGTTCATTGGGGGCAACTTGATCCCTTGGAAGAGCAAAAAATAGTCTGTAGTAGTGAGGTCAACAACTGAGATAAAGTACAAGGCCATGCCTTAGAGTTGCTGAGATAATGTGGTTGAAAGCCTTGTTGGTCGAGCTCAAGGTGGACCAAGGAACCCAAATGAAGTTGCGGTGCGATAACAAGTCCACAATCGACAGTGCCAACTACTCGGTGCAACACGAAAGAACCAAACATTTGGAGATTGATAGATTCTTCAACAAGGAAAAGCTAAATAACAAGCTGCTGGAGCCAATTCATGTAGTCATTGGAGAGCAAGTGGCATACTGCCTCACTAAAGAATTTAGTTCATTAAATTTGTCTAGGTTATGTGACAAGATGGCTTAGTGGATGTCTTTTGCTCATCTTGAAGGGAAGTATTGAGAATTGGACCTTATTTAGGGCTCTTTTAGTAAAAAAAGAATATTGGAAAAGTTTGGGGGCTTATTTTTAAAACATTGTAATACCCTATTTAAGCTCATGCTATGAGTGTGCAAAGTAGGTTTTTTGAACAATTCTTTCAGTTACAAAGATAGCAATTGGTTAAAAAATTTTCTTGCATAATCTGGACAGTGTTTCTTTACAACATATAGAATGTTAAGTCAAGCAAGAAGGGAAGAACAATAAATTTTGGTTCACAACTAATTATATATTAATGATATTAATTACAACATATCTTTCTGATCGGTGCAATTTGGGATCTTTCTTAATTCTGAATATTACCTTTCCTTGTTAGTTACCAGGTTTCTTTTTACTATTGAATGCCTTCGTTCCTTATTACAATGTTCTCTTTAATGAAAAGAGAAACATGTTAAAATTGTCCCCACTTTTTCCAGGGTTCAGCTTAGCCTTCAGTGTTTATAAAAGTACCAATTTAGCTCCCAGACACTTTTAATGGGGGTTAAAATTGTCTGCCCTAGTCAAAATTTCAGTTCTGGGGACTAATTTATGACACATAGTGTTAGATATCTAGGGGAGCCAAAGAGGAGGGGAAGCTAGGAGTCGGGAAACTGAAGAAGGGGATTTGAAACGAGAGCTCGAGAACAAAAGAGATGAATTCGCTATAAATCAGAATCAAGATCGACTTACCTGGAGAGTCGACAGTGCGTACGAAAGCAGAGAGGAGAAAGGCAACATCGTTGTCGTGCGCAGGAAGTGGAAGCAAGAGAAAGAATCTCTGTTTACAAGGGCAGCGAGGATGGCAAGCAGCTCGTGTCTCTTATGCGAAGGAGAAGAACCAAACCCTATGGAGCAGGCAAGGGCAACAATGTATGAAGCTCGGGCATAGCAGAGAGGCAGGTCAGATCTTGCGCATAGAGGAGAAGACTCGCTTGCGTGAGAGTGGTTTTCTACCGTAATTAAGGGTAACTTTATTTAATTTATTTAATAAAAATATGTATATTATATCTATATGTTGAATAGGACATCACTTCAATCATTTTTGAGGAAGTTTTGTCAGACACACAACACCATGAATATTGACAAATAGTTGTAATTGAGTCTTTCCCTTCGTATTGCTCTAATTGTTGTATGTTCGACCATTCCATTTCTCAATCTCACCATCTACACCCCCATCAAAGACCAAAGAAGAAAAGTACTCAGATAGAGGCAGTGATTCCCCATCCTTCTGATACGCTCCAAGTTATTGACACTCTTGATCATCAGAAGGATACTCCTGAGGATGCCACTATCCCCACGGATAATCTGCTACACAAAGCTCATGATGTAGGCCCTACCATGGAACCTCTTTTCGCGAGGGCAGGGGAGACATTTCATACTTCGCCTGCCCTAGAACCTAACTTTGATGTAACGGATGACAATATTTCTACTGAGTTTGTACCGCCTGATCAGATAGAGCAAGTTGTTACTTTTAGTCAGGCACACTAGGATCATGATGTGCAACAACCTATATCTTTCCGACAATCCTTGGACCAATCTACGGAGCAGATGAGTCAATCTTCGGATTAGGAATGACAGGTTTATACATCCAGCAAGAAGAATAGGAATGAAGGCCTACTACCAAACTTAAGGGATGATACATTGGTTGATTCGGGTAATGACAACAAACTTAACAATCTGTTTGCTAGCTCCCGTCCTAGAACTGGAGGCAGAGGCAGGGCTAAATTGGATCTTCCGCAAGCTAACTGAATCTACGAGTGTTGGCAGACTTTTGGTGTATAAATATATATCTGTGTGTGTGTGTGTGTGTGTGTTTTTAGTATTTAAAGTGCATTTGATTTAGCCTATAAAGATTCCACTTCTGGATCGAAGAAAGGGTGTTGACACTAAAGAGATGTTAAGGTTTTATTTCTAAAATTATTTTGTACAAATTAAATAATATTTAATATTAATGTTTAAGTATTGTAATCTTAATTAAAACAATGCAATACAATAATTATTGATAATTAAATTAAATAATTAAATTAAATCATTATTAAGTAAAGTGATAATTGAATATTTTATACATTATATGTAATAATTCGAAAGTAGTAATACAAGTTAAGAGTAAATAAATCGTCTGTGATCGAGATGAGTACTTGTATTTTTAATTTATGATAATATTTCATTTCTTCTCAGCTATTTTGCATTGGGAGTTAATGATACGCGTACAATTTTTATTTTGATTGATATCTTTTTATTTTTATTGGTCACATTGTTATAAATCATATATGTTTGTAGCTACTTATTTTCATGTATTAATTAAACTATATATATAGTATATTGAATTGAATACAATGATCACATGAATGGTCTATATTGACAATATGTATATGCATGACTGATTATGAAGTTAGCCTTTTATGATACTAATAGATGAATACTAAGATATCTGTGCATGTAAATAGAAAAAAAACTATTGATATTGAAATACTTTAATTGATGCAAATTTTAGGCGGTGCTTTTGTGATGGTTGCATATATATATAATGATATAGATATGTTATTGATATAGTAAGATTCATTAAATAAAATCATATCAAGTATTTAAATTAATTTATTAAAAACATAACTAGAATGTATATTATTTTTTGTCATCTTGCATTACTGTAGTTTAGGAGTGTGATTATTCACTGGCTCACAGTTGTTTTAAACTAACTCTTCCGGTGAAATTAATTTATTAAGAGATGAGTACTAGAAACGACAATATTTATAGAAGATGCTGACAATATATAATGAGACAATTTAATTATATTATTTTAATTTAATTTTATTAGTGACTTTCATTTGTTAAAAAAAATATGAAAAATTTAATTCCCATCATTTGACCGTGCACCCGTTTTGGTTTAGTTGAAGCCCCTGACCGAGTCGTGACAAAAGTTATATGAGAGACATGATTTAGGATTAATTAATGTAACCTAGTTGAATGAGATGATAAGGTAGTTATAAGAAAATTTTAATAATAATAAAATTTAAAGATAAATTAATAATTATATCAATTCAGGCATAGAGATGCACTCGAAATTATAGAAGAAGAGAGTCCGATAGCAAACGATGAAGTGCAACCTACTATAAATGTGAACATGAATGTCCTAACCCAGATGATGGTGACAATGACCCAGCTGATTCAGGAGTGCATATCGTAGCTTATCGGAAGTAATACAACCGTTGTGGATAAGTACTTCAAGATTTACGTCCATCGTTGTTTAAGGGAGTTGAATATTCGATCGAAACAAATAATTGACAGATGAAAAATGAGTGTCATTAGCTACATTTGTGTTGGATGGAGAAGCCAAAAGATGGTGGCGTGGACATACCCATGTTGATGGTCAGTTGAGAGGAGTTCGTAGAGCTATTCAGAGAATGCTTTGTACCCCTATATGCTCGAAGACATATGCTAGGCTGGTTCATGAAGTTGGGGCATGGAGAAAATTTAGTCATGCAGTACGAAACATAATTCACTACAGTGTCAAGGTATGCATCATAATTGATCACCACTGCAAAAGAAAAGTGCTACAAATTCTTTTCGGAATTAAATGATTCGATCAAACAACCGTCGGTACCTTTAGGGATCGATGAGTACTCAGTATTAGTGGAACGAGCTAGACGATTGCAAATTGATTATTAACTTACTCAGAAGCGTAAGGAGACACACAAGAGAGAGTATTGATGAAGGAAATCTTGTGGATCAATCATAGGGATCTATTTGAAAAAAAAAATATAAGTACAATTCAGATGGATTTAGCAGAGGTACAACTCAGAGTACTGTAATCACTTGTGTTAAATGCAGAAGACAACATAAGGGGGAATGTTTTATGGACTCTGACACATGCTACTGGTATCATCAGTCTGGTTAAATAGGAAGATATTGTTCATTGATTGGCCATAAGAGTATTGAATGCAAAAATCAAGTGGTGCTTCTTCACAAAAGACATCAGTTGGCATAAAATGATAGAGTCTATGGCTTCAGTTCCTACCCAAGGAGAACCATGGCAACCTGTTCGACCTCAGTTTATTCCCTTATAGTGAGTCTGAAGAACCTACTGCTGTTGATGGTGATGAGGTTTGATAAGTTTGAAGTTTTTTTTTAGCATAATTTCTTGCTTTGGTTACTGTGTTGTTATCCGAAGTATAATTTAGTCTTGTATTGGGTCTTCGCTTTATTGTAATTATTTTTTATCTTCATGAATAACCCCTAGTTTTCTTCTTAAAGTATGGATGACTAATGTGAAATGTTGTTTTTTTTTTAAATTTCGAGGATGAAATTTTTATAAATGGGGAAGATTGTGACGCTTTCTTTCAGATACCTGGGGGAGCCAAAGAGGAGAGGAAGCGAGGAGTCGGAAATCCAAAGAGGGGGAGTTGAAACGAGAGGTCGGAATGCGAGAGTTGATTTTGCTCTCTAAATTAAAGTCAAGATTGACTTACGTGGAGAGTCGACGGTGCGTAAGAAAATAGAGAGGATAAATGCAACATTGTTGTTATGCAGAGGAAGAGGAAGCTAGAGAAAGCTCTCGTGATGTACGAGGGCTGAGAGGACGACAAGCGAATCATGGCTCTAGTGCGAAGGAGAAGAAGAACTGAAACCCTATCTCATGTGCATTGGAGAAGCGAATCATGACTATAGCATAGGAAGCTTAAGCATAGTAGAGGTAGGCCATATCTCACGTGCATTGGAGAAGACTCATCTGCATGATAGGGGTTTTCAACCGTAATTAAGGGTAAGTGTATTAATTAAGTTATTTAATAAATGTTATATATATTATAAATATATGTTGGCTATTTAAATGTTAAACTAAAGTGCATTTGATTTAGGCTATAAGGTCCTACTTCTGGATCGAAGAAATGGTATCGACACTAAAGAAAGATTATGATTTTAATTCTAAATTTATTTTGTATAAATTAAATAAGATTTAATATTGATATTTAAGTATTGAAATCTTAATTAAAATAGTGCAACACATCAATAATTGAAAATAAAATTAAAATATAATTAAGTAAAATGATAGTTGAATATTTTATACTTTATACGTGATAATTTGAAAGAAGTAAATACAAGTAAAGAGTAAGCAGATCATCTATGATCGAAGTGAGCTCTCACACACTTAATCTATATGATTGTTTCGTTTATTCTCAACTATTTTGCATTAATACTTAATGATACATGCAACTTTATTTTGATTGATATGTTCTTTTCTTTAATAGTCACCTTGTTATTAATGTTATATATTTGTAGCTATTTACTATTATGCATTGGTTAAACTATATATATATATATATATATATATATATGAAAAGATGGATGACAACATGTGCTTGTCCACCCATATGTGTTAATTCAACTCAGATGGATTTGAACCCAGTACCGAGGAGACTTATGCCAAAGCTGCCAACCAACATGCCACCAGTTGCGTGCACGCACATACACAATTATATATATATATATATATATATATCAAATTGAATGCGGTGAGCATGTGAATGATATGTTAATATTCACTGTTTTTATATGTATGACTGAATTTGATATAATCACTTTTTTTTGGTACTAGCGGGGGAATGTTAAGATACCCACACACGTAAATGGAAAATGATACTGATATTGAAGTACCTTAATTGGTACAAATTTTAAATGGTGCTTCTGTGATGATTGTACAAATATAGAATGATATAGATATATTATTGATATAATAAGATTCATTGAATAACTTCATATTAAATGTTTATATCATTTATTAAGTGCTTAACCGATATATATATTTCTCTTTTTCTTGTATTACTGCAATTTAGGTGTGCGAGTTTTCACTAGTTTTGGTTAGCTTACAGTTATTTTAAACTAACTCTTCAGTGAAATTAATTTATTGAAGATGAACATTAGAAGAGACAATGCTTATAGAAGACGCGGATATCCTGTAATGAGTTAAATTTAATTTTATTAATTTAATTTAATTTAATTGGGACTCTTTCATTTGTTGATAGTTAGTTATAGAAATTTTAATTACCATCTTTTGACCGTCTGTACCTGTCTTGATTAATTACAAGCATTGTGTCGTGATATAAGTTGACACTTTTATAGTAAATAGTTAGAGATTATTTTGGCACTTTACTCTTAATGATAAACATTAGCTTTCCTTGTTAGTGAGTATAAATTAGTTGAACAGTGCCTTCCCTTCGACTGCGCTTTGAAAAAGAAAAATCTTCGCTACTACATTGCCGGCCATTATTATTTACTAGAGAATTTACAAGTCCTTTGTCAAATCATTTTTCATGATTGCACTTATCGCTTTTACATGAGTTTTTTGCTTTCTTCTTTTCATTGCTTAACATCATTGTGCTTTAAAATGAGGAACAATCTGTCAGGATTTTGGAGCGCTCAGTTTCTAATATTTCTGCAATCTTATGTACATGGTGCATTTTGGCTCTTACGAACTTATATTATTTTCAAATAAAAGTAGTGAAAAATATCAATCGTTGAATGCTTTTTTGTTTATATTTTTTAAATATTTTTGCTTCCACGTTAATTTACATTTCTTATTCATATTTAAAAACTTGTCTTGTTTTGGCACATATTACCATATAAATTCATCATAATTTGGTTAAGCCAAGGGTTCCCCGTTGCAGGCATTAGCAAGCAATTGATGAAATCTGTTACTGCGTTTATTAAAGCCATCATGAAATCTCTCCACTCTCAAGTTCTCTTGAATGGATCCAAATTTTAAGGAGTTCAATTGCTACAGTAATAATTAGATTTCTCTTCTAGTGCGCATCCTTTTCCATCTGAAGTAGCTGAGTGGTCTTTTTTGACTCGTTTGAAGGTTAGAATCACGCTCCAAAATTATGTGCAACTTAATAACGACTGCAGGAGCTCTTGTAATATATTCTTTGATTTCCATTTCTATCTTGAACTAGTCTTTAGCACTGCTATTTTTAATCTATTGTAGTACATACTCAAAGCTACACTTCCCTTTGTCAGTATTTAATCTTAAAAAGCTTTCTGTGCCAAACCATTCTTTCATATAAGCACTTGTCATTAATTGATATAAGTACCTATCATTCTTGGAATTTGAAGAGATTTGTTTCATGAAAGTTGCATTTTGTTGTTATTGTGTTGAATTTTATCATCTGTTTGAATCATGGCTTTTAAGCTAGCAGGCATTTTGCATGCGACTGCCTTGTGTTGAAGTGAAATCATAGCTTCAACTTGTGAATGGTATAGCTCAGTGTATTTTTCTTTCAGATCAAAAGAATGTTTATTGATAAAAAAAATTAAGACATGTGCCAAGGTTGTGAAAATCAGACCAATCATTGAATCTGAAGTAGAAAGGGGTTCATGTTTAAAGGTTAAAGTTGGGGTTAACTTAGTGCTTGAATGGGATGATATACTAATCATTAAAACTTTTAAGTATTAAACCATATAATAGTAATGTAAATACATAAAAAAATAAAATAAATATTTATATTATATTATAATTATGTAATATATAAAAAAATTAAAAATAAATATTTCATGAAATGTAAGATGTATGCAAGAAATATCTTCTATAGCTTTAAATTTAACAGTTTTCTAATATTATGGTAATTTTTGCTTAATTTTATTAACTTATTTTCTTACATTGTTTAATTAAATAATAAAATATTTAAAACTCGGTACAAAGTTTAAATGTTTATTGAAAATTTGATCATAATAATAATCGGTCGTTTCACTTGAATCTTGACTTGTTCATTGGTTCATAGATTCGAATGGCTGCTCATATGACAAAAAAATCGTTGTATCATTGTAGAAAAATGATTTTTTTTTCTTAGAATAATGATTTAGATTCTTTTATAAAATACTTTTTTGAATTTTAGATCTTCAAATAAATAAAAGAATACATTAATTATATCCTTAATAAAACTATTTTATAATATCATTGTAATATAAAAGTTATAAAATTAATTTTTTAATATGGCATTTTCACCTCAAGAGATTTTTGTGTCATTCATGATAAACTAATGTACTTCCAAATAGGGGAGAAAATGAGTTGAGCTTAGCTCAGCTACTCTCGACTTGAGCTTAAGCTTGATTAATTTTATCAAAGTTTGAGCTCGAGCATGAGCTTAAGTCTACTAATTTGCAAGTCGGCTTGTTCATTATATAAGAGTGCAAATAGTATTAATTTAAGGTAGTAATGTAATAAAATGATTAAAAGAATGAGTAATTAGAAGAGAAATAATAAAGAAAATATTTTGAATATATTTTGTATTATCATATTTTTAAATGAGTCGGCTCATGAGTTGACTAGTCGAATTAGGGCTAGCTTGAACTTGGCTTGTTAACTCAACAAAGCTCAGTTAACGAGCCACTTTTAGAGTCAAGCTCGAGTCAGCTCACTAGTTAGCTTGACGTACTTACACTCATACTTCCAACCCAACACTGTGCAATGGAAATTTAAACATTTTTATGTGACTATAAACAAATAAATCACGTAATTAATGTGTAAGAATTATGTGATATATATGAACTTAAATGCCTCATCATATCTGATAGATATGATTTTTTTCTGGATTTTAAGAAGTGTGGGTAAATGTCAACATAAAAAGAACCTAGAAAAAGTCCCAAAAAACTATTACATTTGTTAATAAGAGACAATTAAGTGGATGCATTATATTTTTCTTAGTTCTCGTTCTTTCATATTGATATTAGTATAATATCAATAAAAATAAAATAAATAAAACTATAAAAAAAGTAAATATTATGAAAAATAAATCACAAAGTCATGCTCACCCAATCACACAATAGAATTGAACCATAGCTCGAACCTTCTACCCTATAACTTCAAAGCGAGAATTCAAATAGGTTGGCTTCGATGAAGCCACATATAATTCTGCATAGCACTTCCCAATTATTGTGTTTTGACGCTTAGTAACCATAATTTGGAGAAAGTATAGTTTTCCATCCATAAAGGGCTTCCGCTTCGCCTTCACCACTCGAGAGAACACCATATATTCCGACATGGGCAAAACTGCATTGAAGGTTTGTTGGTAAAAAATGGCATAATCTTGATTTGCTGCATCCACAGCAAACCTGCCAAGGCCCTGCACCATTTGATTTTGCTCAACTTTATGATACTCTTCCCATTGCGTCCTTCTTACATGTGAATCCCTCGAAAGTTGCAAGGCTGAAACATCGAAGTAGAGGAAGAGAAGTGTGAAGATAACGAAGACTAGATGGATTTCCATGGCAATAACTTTAAGAGACTGTGTTGAGGATGTGAGAGAGGGGGAGATTTTTAAGGTGGTGGAAAATAGGAAGGGGTGGAAGCGACACTGCAGATAAATTACATTGCCAGGCTAGCTAAATAGTGACACTCAATGAAGAAAAAATATAGTGATGGCCGGGTGCCTTGCATTATTGTTAAATGTTGAGTGACTCATGTTGGATTGAAATTTGTAGTGTTGTTTCCTCACCATGCTGCCATTTGTATATGTCAGGAGTAGTGGATACATTGATATGTATTATGGTAGTCATTTTCAAATTATTTTTTTTTTTGTTTTTTTGATATATTGTACAAGCTTTACTTTTGGAGAATAATAGTATATTAATTTTGAGAAATAGTATTTTTTTTTTTAAATTAATGTAACTAAACATCATATTTTTAGTACTTCTTTTTTGAAAAAAGTAAATGCTTTATTTAATTGTATATTTGGAGAATGAGCATTTCAATTAAAAAAATAAATAAATAGTGATATTTTTTATGTAATTTAAAGATTTGAGTTTTATATGAATAAGTTCTTTGATATGCGCATTGTATCTATAAACGTGTAACTGAAGTTCATTATGGTGAAAGAAGTTGTATATTCTTGTTTGTCCAATCAAGGGAAGATATGCATGAACATTAAAAAATAAAATATTTAAATACTTGATTATCATAAGTAGTTTTTATCATTGATCTTCTTACAATAAACTTATTAGAATTAAAAGCAAAAACAATAATAATAAAAGATTTTGGTGAATCAAGCGGTGGAGGGTTGTGAAAATACTCACCTCTCTTTGGTTTAAGGAGATGTTTGCTTCTTCAATTTCTCAGATTTGAGAAATATACCTAAAAAGAAATTATTTCAAGTTGATTTTAATAAACATAAATCAACAAGAGTGTCATTCAATTTATTTGCCAAATCATACAAATTAGAACATAGTAATAATATCTTAAGATTATATATATATATATATATATATATAACACAAGAATTTATGTGGTTTAAGATGAGGAACTTATGTCCACAATAAAAAACATGTGGCTTCCCTTTTATTCATTGCTCAAATCAATATTATAGGTTGCATTCTATGTACCATTAAGCCGCAAATCAAGCTATGAATTAAGTCTTCCTTATATAAGCTTAAATATTTTATTTAAAAAAGAATCTAAGTTTGGTAGATTTCACTGATTTGAAATAGAAGAGGAAGAGATGATTACAAACCATAGTTCTGCAATTTGCTTCATGAATTGTTAGACCACTATATCTACCTAATCTCTAAGTTGTTGATACAACCCTCAAAGCTTGAAGATCCACTAAAAGAGCTTCTTGCTATGAAAGGACACAATCTAATCCTTTCTCAACCTCTCCTTTGTGACGTTCGCAGTTGTTACAAAGTAACCAGATTGTCATTTTCTCCTTCTTCTTGGTATCCTAGAACCCTCACCTCTTCAGATTAGCACAATGGTTGGTGTACTAACACACTTTTCGTTCCCATAAAAGCTTTTAATAAGAATACCATCTAAGCCATAAAATTGGCTTAAAAAGCGTAAAATGAAGTTAGCAACATATAAGTCAATATAAGAGAATACAATAATTGTTTTTTGAGCAATTTAGGATAATTAATAATCTCCACCATGAATCAAGTATTAGATAAGCTATATGTCCATATTTCTCCCAACACCTTAACCTATAGGTCCTACTACCTAAAGAAGAACTATTTAATACTAAAATTTAATTCCAATCACCATCTTAAAAAAAGTATTTGTAGGATTCTCTTGTATATACACTTCTTGGATGTCTATAACACCTTGAGCAAGAACAACTTTGTTGAATTGTTGCCTGATATTAAATGTTTGGTTTTTCATGAAATGCTTGATTTAGTTGAGAAGTTACATGAATAAATTCTTTATATCAATTTTTTTTTAAGGTGATGGTACTTAATGCTAATTTAGGTATGTGATTTTTAACTTTTTTTCATCACTTAACATCATTCTATTTAAAAATATGAAACGACTTTCTACCTTCTAGAGACACATGTACTAATGTTGTGGTATTTTTATGGTTTATTTTGGTTCTCCTAAAATTAGATTATTTAGAAATCAAAAGAGGAGAAAATACAAATCGATGAATGCTTTTTGGTCACTTTTTTAGCATCCTCATGATTAAACATTATGATTCATATTTAAAAATTATATTGTTTTGGATCATATTATCACAGAAATTCATCAAAATTTGGTTAAGCCAAGAATTTTCCATTGTAGGTGTTAGGAAACAATTAATGAAAATTCTTACCATGTTTATTGAAACAATGAATTCTCTCCACTCTGAAGTTTTCTTGAAGGGATTGAAATTTCGAGGGATTGAATTGCAACAGTTATAATAGTGTACATCCTTTTATATCTGTAGTAGTTGAGTGGCCTATATTTCTACTCAAAGTATTTGTTTGAAGGTTAGAATCATCATCCAAATTCTCAACTTAATAGATTATAGTTTCTGCAAATGCTCCTGTATTGCATTATTCGATTTCCATTTTCTGTAGGAACTAATCCTCACCACTACTTTTATCAATTAAATAAATATATGATTTTTTTATTTAATAAATCATATATTTAATTTATTATCCCTAAAAATAAACATTAGATCAAATTTCAAGTTCATCAAAATCTTCCTTCAAATTTATTTTTTTTTATCAAACTAAATTTTAAAGTTTCTAAATCTTCTACATAGAAATATCTATACTCAATGCTTTTTTTTTATTATGAAGAAACAAAAACAATGCAA